AGGAGGGCAGGATAGGACTGGGACAGGTGGGGGTAACCCCCACACCATCCCACACTTGGTGTTTTCAGGGCCAGGAGAGAGCTGGGTGCTCAGCAGCAAGGACCCTCTACAGCTGCTCTTCGCTGGGAAGGAGTCTCAGGTGAGAGCTGCAGGACAGGGACATCCAGGGTATGAGGGTCCCTGGGGAACCAGGAGGGAGCAGGGGCTCTGTCCCACCCTGGGACCCTGGTGGGAGCTGAGCTCTTGGCCTGATCCTGCCCTACACCCCTATGGGCCCCTCCCTTGCAGGAGATTCCTGGGGGCTCCCAGAGAGCAGGGGAAGGGAGTGGGTCTCTCCTCACCCCTGCCCATGCCAGGTCCTCTGTGCCACCCCTGCCATCTCCATCCCAGCCTGCCCAGTGCCCTGCCCTGGTCATGCTGGGATAGGGGAAAGATGAACATTATCCCCCTCCCTCGCACCAGGAGAGCTCCCTGGCTGTCGATGGCGTTTTCCACTTGGATGCAGGACAGGTACTGAGAGCCCCAAGTCCTCGTCTGTCCCCAGCCACATGAGCCAGGGCCACCTACTCCATGCTGGCCGTGCCATGCTGTGGCTGCCATGGCTGTGCCATGCTGACCCTGCCCTGCTGGATATGTCTCTCCTTCCAGGAGAAGGTCCTGGAGTTGGCAAGACCCCAGCTGGCCCTGGTTCCCCTTGGCTACAGCATGTCTCTGCTGCTGTGGGACCCCCATGGCCCTGGGACACAGCTGCCCTTCCAGAGTGTCATCTGGCAGGTGAGAACACAGGGGACAGGTGGCAGGGAGAGGGGACAGCACAACGATGCAGTGCTGGGCTCCCAGGACACCCAACAGACCCCGATCCCACCAGGGAGGGGCTGAGATCCAGCCACGGGTCCTGGGAACCAACAGCTCCCAGCTTGTCCACAGGTGATCAACACCATCTTCCAAGAACTGGAGGCCTTGGGGGACGACACACAGACCCTGAAGATGGTCAGTCTGGTCCAGGTAGGGCAGGAGCAGGGCAGGATGTCCTGGCATGAGGGTCCCATTCCCTCTCTGCCACTGCCCAGACCGTGCTGTGCCAAGAGCACATATTGCCCTGTACTGGCATCCAATCCCCTCATCCAGAGGGTGACCAGGGACTGGAGACCTTTGGATTCCAGGTGTTCTCACCTCTTTCCAGGATTTCCCAGATGTGGGAAGCCTTAGCAGCCCACAGAGCACCTCCTGGGCTCCAGCAGCATGGTGGGATCAGGGGAGCCCTCCAGCCCCTTCCTGTTCCATCACAGCTGGGCTTTCTGGGCCAGTCACTGCTCCCTGTGGCCTGAAGGTCCCTCCAGTGTGGCCTTGATCTGCACAGGAGTGATGTCAGCTCAAGCCACTGGGCTGGGTCCTGCCCTTTGGCTCTGGGATGCTGCCAGGGATCTGATAAGCTCCACACAGGGCTCTGCCCTTCCCTGGTGCCAGAGCTGGAAAAGCTGGGAGTTATCCCAAAATCAGCCTTTCTCAAGCCTCACCTGTGCATGGCCACGAGCAGTGTGTGCCCCTGGTGAGTGTGGGATGCCAGCAGCCCCCTTTTCCTGCCCCCCTGCCTAATGCAGCGCCCTCATTCCAGGTCAGCACCCATGACAAAGCCTGGGACCTGCTCCGTCCCGATGGCCGAGCCCTGCAAGTGATGGATGTGGCACCCCTGGGCCTGTAGGTACCTGATGCCCCATGGCTGAGCAGATGCTCCTGGGGGCTGGTACCCCAAAATCAGGAGTGGGGCTGGGCAGGGAGCAAGGTGCCCAGCCACAGCATGGCCAGGGGTGTTCCTCAGCGAGTCCAGGATGTGGATGTGACCCTCTTTGCTTGGCTTTGTCTCCCTCTGATTCCAGGATGGTGGAGGAGGCAACAGAAATGGCCGTGCCCGATGCCCAGGCTGCCATCAGTGCCTATGCCAGGGGGCTGGCTGCCATCCCAGCGTTGTTCCAGGGCTGTGTTCAGCAGCCCCTCGCAGATGGGCGCTCAGCTGTGCAGGGGTGAGGAGAGGATTTGGCCCAGACCCCAGAGGTTGGGCCATGGGGTGCTGGGGCTGGCTCTGCTGCAGCCCCACTCCCGCACTGGCCTCTCCCCAGGGCTGGCAGCCTCTTCACTCTCACCGTGGAGCGAGAGCTGGAGGGTGGCAGGCGCCAGCGCTCGGCCCTCAGGATCCTGGTGTCCCCGGAGGCCACCATGCCCTGCCCCAGGCTGTACGTACGGGCACTGAGCTGGGTTCCCACCCCATCACAGTCCTGTGCCTGCTGTGGGTCAGGGAATTCCATTCCTGGAGGTGAAGCAGGAGGGACACCCCAGTGGGAGCCCGTGGCTGGGACCCAAGGGGGTGTCACCGTTCCTTGGGGACAGGGGCTTGGGGAGATGTGTGGCCAGCCCATCCTTGGGTTCCTGTGGTGTGGAGCCCTCTCCTGGGGTGTCTTTCCCCATGTGCAGGGAGTGCAGGGAGCCTGGTGCCGTCTGCCTGCCCTGGATCGTGGAGCGGCTGCTGGAGGGGAACAGCCTGACCTTCCTGCTGCTGTGTGTGTCACTGCCAGGTAGCCCCTGGGACTGGGACACACTCTGGATGCCCCTTTCCTGAGGATTGCCCATACCCTGCCCCACACCCGGCACTCGGTCCCTGGCTGCTGCCCGGGGACACCTGCAGCCATTGGACACCAGCTCCACTCAGCTCCATCGCACCGGGACTCCCTGTGCTGGTGGCTCCCCATGGCCCCTGCCCAGGGCTCGCTCTTCTCCCAGACACCTCCAGAGAGGAAATCCTGGGAGCTCTGGGACTGGCTGAGAGGGTGAAGGGGCTGGCCAAGACCATCTCTGCCACCTTCTGGGACCCTGAGGAGGAGATCGCGGTGCGCCGGAGGGAGATCCGAGGGCTGCGGATGGAGCTGCTGGCTGGATCCGGCCTCCCTGAGCAGAAGACAGCTGTGGCTCAGCTGCAGAGGGCCCTGAGGGAGCTGCAGGTGGGGAATGCCCCTGGATCCATGGGACTGAACCCCTGGAACCATCCCCTGGATCCATGGATCCATGAGACTGGGATGGCACTCATTCCCTGGGCTGGGTAAGCTGCAGGCTCTTGACCCATCCTGGTGTCAGGACTCTTGCCCAGCACTGAGGGCAGGGGCTGAAGCTGCCCCTGGGGTGAGATGTGTTCCTGAAGCCATGCCAGTCCTAGACGTCTGAAATACCCCAACAAGGACCTCCAGTTCCCCTTTTCCAGGTGCTGAAGAGTCAAAGGCGGGAGAAAAAGCAGGCAGTGACAAATGAGATGCACCAGCCCAGTGCTGAGGTGGGCAGAGGCCAGGCCAGGCCCCCTCATCCAGGGACAGTCTAGTGCAGGAAAAGCCCTGAATCCCAGCTGTGTCCCTGTAACATCTCCTTCTCTGACAGGACCAGGTCTCTGCAGGGAATACAGTGCCAGGCCAGCAGCCTGGGACCCAGACACACCCGACCAGCGCCAGCCTGGAGCCAGCAGAGTCAGAGCGTGGAACCAGAAACGCATCCCATAACTGGGTGGAGAATATGTGGGCACAGAGCATGGCTTTACATGGTGGGAAAGGCCTCACTCTCCATCTGAACGTCCTTCTTCAGCCCTCCCTGTCAAACTCATCCTCCTCCACTGTCCGCACACAGCAGGACGGGGCAAAAGCAGAAGCCAGGGAGGGGAAAACCGAGCTCTGGTCAGCACAGGGCAGGACCTTCTGGAGGAGCCATCCCAGAGCAAAGCGTCACAGCCACAGCCCGGGTGTGACAGCGTGAGTGGGACAGGGTGACAGGGTCCCTGTGCAGGGCCAGCTCTGTGCTGCCAGCACTGGCTCCTGGTGCCACCCGAGCCCGCTCCTCTCTCCTCCAGGCAGGGACACGGTGCCAGCCGCTGGCCAGGGCACAGCGGCAGCGGCTGCGGGCTCAGCACTGCCGGGAGCTCCAGCAGGAGCTCGGGGCTGCTGCCATGCCAGCCCAGGAGCACAGCGGGGAGGTGGGCACAGCACTGCGAGCTTCAGCCTCTCCTCCCCTGGCACTGCTCTCCCTGGTGCAGCCCAAGGGAGCAGGGACAGCCTGGAGCTGCCCTGACCTTGTCCCTGTCCCCCACAGTGGGGCACAGAGCGCTGGCAGCGGGAGGTGACCGCGCTGGGCCTGAGCCTGGAGGCAGCGCTGCGGGAGCGGGAGGCGGCCGAGTGGGACCTGGAGGCCCTGCTGCACAATCACCGCCAGGAGATGCAGGCCAGCAGGCAGCACCTGCTGCAGGTGGGCAGGCAGGGCTGGGGACAGCTCTTTCGGCGGTGCCAGGGCTGTGCCAGAGCGCCCCGGGCATCCCGCAGGTGCTCCGGGACCAGCAGCGCCTGGCAGAGGAGCAGCGGGAGGCCCTGGAGCGCCGGCACCGGGCGCTGCTGCAGGAGGTGCTCCGGGACGCTGTGGAACTCGCCGAGCACAACCAGCACCTGCGGGACGCCCGACGGGCAGGCACGGCCGATGGCACCACACAGACCCCCTGAGCCACGCCCAGGGCGTGGGGACACTGCGTCCCTGCGCACCCCTCCCTGCACCGAGCCACCAGTGATGCCAGGAGACCGGCCAGCCCCAGGCACAACCTGCTCAGGCTGGTGTTCCCGGGGGAAAACCCTGCTAGGCGCTGGGAATGTGCCTGTGGGGGCACAGGCTCAGCCTGGAGGGAGGGCTGGCAGCCCCCACCTGCGGCCACATGGAATAAAGTGTGTGCCCTTCACCCATGAGTGTTGTCAGTCTCGGACACACCCCTGGCCCCCAAACCTGTGCCAAGGGGCACAGCCACCAACCCACAGGGCTGGCAGACACAGGACAGACAGGACAGACACACAGATGCTGTTGAACCGCAGCTTTAATATCTCGAGTGGCCTTTGCCTGCCAGAAACTTGGTACAAATTTGGGGGACATCCCCCTTTCGGGGAGCAGGTGAGAGTTCCCACGTGCCCCAGTCCCTGTCTGCTCTGCAGAGACACTGTTCCCAGAAATGGGAAATGGGCCCTGAGGACAGCAGGGCTCCAGCAGGGGCTAGGCTGGAAAACCGTGGAGGTGAGAGAGGCCAAGGGAAGCAGCACCAGGAAGGGCAGGGATCAAGCATCCATGGGAACTGAAACAGCACCAGTCCCATGCTGGGCTGGCAGGAAGTGCAGCAGGGCCAATTACTGCCAGAGCATTCCCAGGCCACTGTGGTATGGGGAAGCAGCTTGAGGACATGGGACAGAGTCCCAGAATCACTGAGGTGGGAAAAGACCTCTGAGATCATCGAGTCAAACCTGTAACACAACATCACCCTGTCAACTAAATCACGGCATTAAGTCCTTAAACACCTCCAGTGATGGTGATTGCACCACCTTCCTGGGCAGCCCCTTACGATGTTTAATCACCTCTTCTGTGAGGAAATTACTCCTAAGGTCCAACCTGAATCTCTCCTGGCACATCCTGAGGCTATGAGACATGCACAGGAGGTTCAGAACCCCCCCTAAGGCTGAGCATACCTGATCCCATAGGAACCCCCTGACACAGAGCCTGGCTGGACTGGAGCAGGGTGCAGTTTCCCTGTGGAAGCAGAGACAGGCTGCTCTGAGCACTGCTCCTCAGGGGATCCTTGGAGCTGTGCAGGCACCCACCAGGAATGATTCCAGCCCTGAGGAAGGGCTGGGGCTGCCCAGACATATGGGAGGAAGGCAGTGACTATGTGACTCCATAGTACAGGTACACAGCCAGGCCAATGCATGCCACAGCCATGAAGAAGAGGAGGGTGAGCTGCAGGTTGAAGAGGGCAACAGAGAGGAGAGCGTTGACCAGGATGGAGCAGGAGATAACAAAGAGCCTGGTGATGTTGCTGCTGTGCTTCATCACCACGGACATGATGAGGCCATTCAGAGCCTGGCTGAGCACGACCAGCAGCACCCACGGGGAGAAGCCCTCCAGGAACCCTCCCTCCATGCCGCTCCATACGGAGCCCATCACGTTGAGCAGGACCCCAAAGAAGTACAGGAAGATGTTCTGGAGGCTGAGGGGCAGCACCTGGCTTTTCAGGATGGCTTCGGTATAGACAGCAGAGAGGCCGGAGATGAAGCAGTACACGGAGAGCAGCAGCAGCCCCACGGGCGTGACGTGCAGGCGCATCCCGCCGGGGTCCCCGTGTCCCCGCAGCCCCCCGCAGCTGTAGGTGACACCGGCGGCCAGCAGCAGCAGCAGGGCCAGCCAGCGGCGTGGGCCCAGGCGCCGGCGCAGCAGGAGGCTGTAGAGCAGCGCCGTGCTGACGATCTTCAGGTTACTGAGCACCTGGAAGGTGCTGGGGTCCATGAAGAGCTGCATGTGCACCACCAGGTTGTTGTTGGCAGCGTAGAGCAGGGCGGAGAGGGCGAAGGGCGCGGCGTGACGCCAGGACAGCGCCGCTCCCAGCGGCTCCCGCGCCCCTGCCAGCAGGAACAGGAGGGACAGCACCAGCTTGGTCAGCTCCACGAGGACCACCACGGACGTGGAGCTGAAGGGGATGGCCCCATCCACCTTGCAGAGGGTCAGGAGGGGGGCGTGAGAGCCGTAGATGGCCACAGACAGCAGTAGCATCAGTGCCCACAGACCCCTCTGGAGCAGCCTGTTGGCAGAGCCAGCAGCATTCCCAAACATCCCCATTTCCAGCACGAGTGAGCTGCTGCCAGTGTAGAGAGGCCAGACAGACTCTCACCCTGCAACACTGAAGAGACCAAATACCAAGAATTTAATGAGCCTGATTCAAGCAGGATGTTCCCTGCAACATTTGTGACGCAGCAGGAGAGCAGGGTGCTGTCTCTCGTTAGGAGGAGAACTACAAGCCTTCCTGAGAAGCCACACAAAGCACATTGCCAGGGCACACCGTGGGCTGGGTGGCAGAGCACACAGGTCACAGCAGCCCCTCAGTCCACAGGGGCACAGGGAAAGGTAAGGGGAAAAGGCAGCTGGCAGCCCCTCAGTGCTCTCAAGCTGCTGTGGGTTAGTGCAGTGATCACTGCTGCCATGATGCCCAACAAACACCCATCCCCAGCCCCCTGACGTGTCGCAGTGGTGAGGTGCAAAGCCCTTTTCCAGGAAAAAGAAGGGTGCAGGTGATGTGCCTCCCAGAGCCCTGGGGGTGCTCTGTGCCTGCTACCTAAGGAGCACCGTTCCTGCAGTCCCTGTTGCCTCCGGGCTCCTCCTCGCTAGTCCCGACCTTTTTTCAGTGAATTCACATAGTCCCGAATCGTCTTCTCAACGTTGGGCACGGCGTAGTTCTGGGCGGCGTAAATCCCCGTGCAGGTGCCGGCCACGAAGCCCAGGACGGCGGAGAAGCGGAGCTTCGCTACCAAGTATCCCGCCAGGAAGCCTTTGAGAAAGGGCGATGCCAGCAGCGATCCGTCCTGAGGGGACAGCACAGTGAGTGAGGCGTGGCCGGCCGGGTTCGGGGAGGGGGCGACACAGGACGTGCCCCAAGGGTGAGTTGTGGGTTGTTTTTTCCCTGGGATTTGTTTTTCCCCCCACCAGTCCCTCTCAGAGGGAGCGGCCGGCCGGCCCGCCCCGAGCACGTTACCTGCCCCACGCCGGCCTGCACCTCGTCCTCCACCCTGCGCTGCAGGCTCTCCAACTGCCCCTTCAAGAAGGCGAGGTCCTTCAGCTTAGGCAGCGAGTCCTGCAGGAGACACGGAGGTGATTCCTGCCCCCTCCCCGCAGGAGGAACCGGCGCGACCTCCCCTCAGCCTCGGCGGCTCCTCAGCCCCGGCCTTCCCCGCTCACCTTATCGTCCGCCATCTTGGCGCCGCCGCCGCCCGCCGCTGATTGGCTGGCGGGGAGGCACGTGACACCCCCGCAGCCAAGCCGCCGCTGATTGGTTGTCACGGAGGCAGCGACTCCTCCCACGCGCCCCTTCCCGCCACGGAGGCGTCACCCGGCGCTGATTGGGTGAAGCGGGGTCACGTGGCAGCCCCGGCTCCCTCACGCCGGCCGGCCGGCGCCATCTTGGGGGGGCGGTGTTTCCTCTTGAGGCGCGGCCCGGCTTTAGCGCGGTACCGGCACCGGGGGGCAACGGCACTCCCGCCCCTGCCCCGGCCGGGCTGACAGAGCTCATGGCTGCCCCTCAGCGCAGTCAGGGCTTCCAGGACACAGCCTCCGGATGGATGGGGGGGCCAAGCTCCGCAGCTTCCCAGGGCTCTTCTTGAGGAGTCTGATCCAGTCCCCGGCTTGGCCAGTGTTTTATGTATAAAGCAGTGCAGTTGAGCCTTTATATCACTTTGTCCTTCAGGATTAAGGATGGTAACCCAAAAGTATATATTTAAATAAAATATTTAAATTAATGATTGGAAGGATTATGCTATAAAGTCCTATTCAGAATTATTTACTGCACAGTGTAGGTGGTTCTAGCTGCTAGAGCAATGCAGTATTTTTGAAGCAATATTGATTCTAAATCAATATTTAATATCAATAGTAGTATGATATTAAAGTATATCTAAGTATAACTAAAATATTTAGTATCAATTAGTATGATATTAAAGGTAGTAAAGTAATTACTGAACAGACATTGATGCTTTTCTCCTTTCTTAGTGCCTCGGGCAAATCTGTCACTCTGATGGGCACATAACACTCCCAGAAATAACAGAATAAATAAAGAACAAAAATGACTGGAGTTATTTTTGTGATAATTGATAAAAGATTCGTGTTAATCAGAAAAGTATTTGGGTTTGTATAAACCAGAATATTAAGGTCTGAAGTGAAGCATGGATACTAGATAAAGGAAAATATATGATTAAATCATTCTGCTTTAAATCACCATGTTTTGTTATGTTATGTTTTCCAAATAAGTTGTATCGTCTACCAGCTTGCAAAATCAGCCTTCCCAATATCCCTTCCTGCCTTTTTCTGATCAATGCTGCCTATCTCAAGGACCAGACTTCCAGATTTTGCTGGTGGTTATCTACAAAGTCCAGATGGATACGGATGTTTATTCGACCACCATTACTTACCTGGCAAAATTATGACAGCAAAAAAAGCAAACATTGTTGATTACAACGAGAAACCACAGTGTAAGAAGAGGCTGCAAACCCAGGGGCAATGGAGCGTGGAGTGGGCAGTGACCCCTCACATTCCCCAGTGCTGCTTGCTCCATCTGTATCAAATAAAGCAATCTAAATTTTGCTGAATATCGAGACTTTTGTTCCTCATTTATAACATTTTCCAACCTAAATGATTCTGCGATCATCCAATCCAACCATCAACACAGCCCTGCCAAGCTAAAATAGAAAACATTAAAAAGCTATGGGCTCCCAAGAGCCACACCCACACGGTTTTTGAACACTTCCAGGCATGGTGACTCCAGCACTGCCCAGGACAGCCTGTCACAGTGCTTGATCACCCTTTCAGTGAAGAAATTTTCCTGAATATCCAGTCCCTGGCACAACCTGGGGCTGTTCCACCTCTTGTTTGAGCCCAAAGCCCCACGGAGCTGTGCTGGGGCCACGCTCCAGCTGACACAGCCACTGAAGCTGCCAGTGAAACCCGGCCTGCTGCATTTCCAGCTTGGAAAACAGGCACTGCAGAACTGCAGGCGAGGCTGAGGAACCGTGGGAGATGTTGGTTTCAGGTGCTTGGCACAATTTAATTAAAAGCCGTGGTGCTGGGGGTTATGTGAGTGTTACTCTCGTGGGTGCTACACCAGCACGGAGGCAGCTCTGTGAAGCCTTGGGGGCTGTGGGGCTGCTGCTCTCCAAGTTAATTTAGATACATTCCCTGTGTTTATTACACTGCTCCCTCTGAGCACTGGGAAAAGGGAAGGGACTCAGGAGGAAGTGGCAGGTGCAGCCCAAAGAAGAAGCATTAATGTTGTTATTAATATTAATAGCCAGTTTAAGTCCAACCATTGCTGAAGGCTGAGTGCTGAGCTGCTGTTTCCTTGCTTTGCAGGATTCCAAACTTCATCCAGAGGCAGGTGTGGACTTAGTGAACCTGACACAAACCAGCCACAAACCAGCCACATTTCAAGCAGAATTTTTACTTCATGAAAGGTTAAAATAAATAAAATGAAATTAAATTAAATTTAAATAAAATAGCTTTGTGAGTCCAAGGGCCTTTCTTGGAACACAATCACACCACTTGAAAAGTGCCACTTAGTGCAAGGCTGACTTGGAAAATTTGGGTATTGGTGAACAACATGTGAGGGCAGCAGAGCCCTGTGATCAGTCACTGCTCTCATTCCCAGAGGTGAAGCCATTGCCAGTCTCACCAGCTGCAGAACAGAGAGTAGGTTGGCTACTGGGAAGGAATTGTTCCCTGTGGGAGTGGTGACACCCTGGCACAGGGTGCCCAGAGAAGCTGTGGCTGCCCCTGGATCTCTGGAAGTGTCCAAGGCCAGCTCAGATGGGGTTTGAAGCACCCTGGGATAGTGGAAGGTGTCCCTGCCATGGCAGGGGACGGGAACGAGATGAGCTTTAAGGTCCCTTCCAACCCAAGCCATCCTGGGATTCCTTGAGGATCAGTTTTTGTAGGTCATGGTAGAAGCTGAGCACCTGCCCTCAGAGGGTCTGTGAGGGAACTCAGCTCTCAGCCCCCCGAGGTTACACACTGAGGCTCTGTGCTGTGTGCAGCAGCAGAAATGTGTCCCTGCTGGTGGGTCCTGGGATTTCTGGTGGGAAAACAGCTGGGATGTGAGGGAGGGCTGGGAGAAGCCCTGTCTTTGCTGCATCCAAGCTGAGCCCTGGCCCCAGCCCTGGCTGGAGGGAGGACGCAGCCATTCTGTGCCTTGCTCAGCAGGATCGTGGCTGTGAACCTCCCTCCCTGCTGCACCTGGACCTGCTGGATTGTGGTGGCCCCTGTACCTGCTCAGCTCACCTTGCTGAGGTGTGGTGGCACTGCTGCTCCCCATGGATCAGGATGGGTCTGCCTCCAAGCCAGAGAGTCCTGAGTCTGAGTCAGAGCTGCTGTGGGATGCTGTGATTAGCACTAAAACTGAACTATTTGTGCTGTTGGAGAGCTCAAGGGGAAACTGGTTATTCTGTGTTTGCCAGCTTAGCAGCAAGCTGCCACTCCTGAGGTTTGATTTGCCTGCCTCTGATCCAGCCCTGCCTCTGGTTCCTGCTGCCAGCAAAGGCTTTCACCTTGGCCCCGGCTGTGCCCTTGAGCAGTGGCGGGAGCTGAGCCTTTGGCTGGCAGCACGGCTGCTGCTGGAACAAGGCTGTGCTGTCAGATTTCCTCCAGGCTTGTGCCTGTCTTTCAACCTGTCCCCTTCTAGTGTGGCCTGAGCTTATCGGCATCTCCAGCCCAGCCTGGCTGCAGTGGTGGGTGAGATAAGGAGCTTCCACATGAGAAGGGAGCAGGGCATCCAGGAGGACACGGAGCTGTGTCCCACAAGGATGTGTTTGGAGGTGTGATCCCCCGGGGGCTGCAGTGGCTTTGCTGCTCACACAGCTGCTGCTGGCTGTTCCCGTGTTGCAGAACTCAGTCCTGATGCATTTCCCCTGCATCCCAGCAGGTACCCACAGGATTTGTTCTGTGCCCTTGGGAACGCTGCTCAGTGACCAGGACCCACGGCCAGACCCCCACTCTGCTCCCTGCATTCAGGGTGTCTCCTACCAAATCCCTCACCTGCTCTCTTCCGTCTCCAGTCAGTCCAGCAGCAGGCACTTGGCACATCCCAGAGATCTCAGC